AGGCACTCAGCTGTCCTGCCAGGAGGAAAGTATTCCTGGCTTCGGTCGGAAAGCTCTCTCGACATGTTCTCCATCTTCTGCAACCTCTTCACCGCATTGTCGCTTGCTTTCGGTAGCTTCTTCATCAACCGTCGCCTCAAGCCATCATCCACAAGGTCCTCGACTCGGTTGAAGAGGTGCTGGCATCTTGAGGTCGCTGTCAATGCTTTCTGTGCATCCGGACAGAGGTCACAGCAACTCCAAGCCACGGGCGAGCCAGGATATGCAGGGATGCCAGAGGCCTCTATGCACATTTCCAAGACGTCCATCAGACCTTCTTCTCCGTTGCCGGAGCCGGAGTGGTCGCTGTAGATGACCACAGGAGCACGGCTCAAGATTCGGTCGAGTCTTTGTTTCAGTCGTGGCACCATGCGTAGAGAAAAAGCTGCCTTCTGAGCCCAGTTGTTGAACAAGTCATTCTGGGTGGTCGGGCCTCTTGCGAAGCCAGTCGCACTTTCTTTGTCCACTGCTCGAGCATGCTTCGGCTGCTCCGCAAAAGTCTCAGCGGCGGCTGAGGCATGAACCATTGGCCCTGATTCATTCCCAGCTGCCGAAGCTTGCACTTTCCTTCCGGTCGATCTAGCCGCGGGCTTCTTGTGCATCTTGCTCTGCACCGGCATCGAAGATATGCAAAAGGTGCTTGGGAAGCACCGAAGCACCTGAGCAAGCCAGAATGAAAGAGCTCAAGGATCATAACAAGCAGGCACTCACTCACGACAGCGGAAGGGTGGGGTTGCAGCTGATGATGCTCACTCTGGGGCCTTGTTTGGGGGTCCCGAAACAGGGGTGTTCCCCACCCAAACCGCCTGAATTGTGGTTTCAGTGGGATGATGCTCGTTTTCTCGATTTGGCGGCTTTCGAATTTCTAAGAACGATTGTTTCTTTTTCCGATTAGACACAAGCCTTTGAAGCCTTTAGCAAACTTTAGGACTTTATGGCATTGTTACAGACGTTTCAGGAGACTTCGAGAGAACTGCGAGCAGAACCTGGCACATAGGAAAATAATTGGCGCGAAAGCCCCAAACCTGTTTTGTTGAGACAGGAGGTCTGAGAGCCCCAACGGGCATCGATGGGCCCCGAAGGTCCCCGAAGGTTCCCCGAAGGTTCCCCGAAGGTTGTTGGAGCCGTTTCAAAGCTTGCCAGGAAAAGCCGGACAGGCCTGGAACAAACATTTACCTTTATTGTAACCTGTACTATGGCCCCCAGCACCCACCAGTCGGAAAGTCGGGATGTGGGTTGCGAAAGCACGACCGACCAGGTTCCCCGAAGGTTGGGGCTGGTTCCCCGAAGGTTCGGCTAGTTCCCCGAAGGTCCCCGAAGGTTGCCCGATGGTCCCCGAAGGTCCCCGAAGGTTTGCCTGGCACATATAGCAAACAAGCTGTTTAGAAAACAGTACGTTAATATTTCGTCCAAAAGTGTTCCAAGCACCTAAAGTTTCTTCTTGAATGGTGACAGAACAGCCCATGTGCATCATGTGCATACCAAAACTGCAGACATCACAGAATGGGCTCATGCTTTTGCAAGACAACTGTCGCAAAGATCAGAAGTTGACTTAAAACTCAGAAGAGCACAAATGAATGGTTGGCCACAGCATCGCGCGGGAAGTTACACAAGCTGCCTAGCTAGAAGATGAGGACGACGACGAAGACGAATCAGACGATGACGCCGACTCTGAATCCGACACGTCAGGAGCATGCGAAGACTCTGCTGCGCCCGGTGCAGCCGCGGCAGGTGCGGCAGCTGGGACTGCCGCCGCCGGCAAGAAATCATCCACCCTGCACGATTCTATGGCACTCTCCTCTGGCAGCTCCTCTAGCTGGGGATGATATGCCTGGTGCTCAATTTTGTCATCGAAGAGATGACAGCTGTTACACCAATGCCGCACCCTCCAAAGCGTGCTCAGCTCTGCTGCACGGTCCCCAGCCTTGAACGACATGGTTTTGGTGCACTTTGTTCGCTTGTTCGGATTGTGTTCCGGCTTAGGACATGTAGCCTGCCAAGCATGAGATTCCTTAGCAGTGCCGGCGGATTGAACCTTGTACGTGATCAGAAATGCACCCCAAGAATGCGTCTTCTCGTGTCTGCTTCGCTCCTTGCCTCTGGCCGGCGCGGCTTTGGCGGCGGCTGACGGGGGTGGCGGGGGAGGGACCAAGGCATCGGGACCTCCCACCTCCTCAGCATGACGAGGTGCATCTTCATTGTAAGCCGGAGACAAAATGTCTGCTGCACTGCTCACAGCAGCAGGCTCAGGCTCTTCAAAGACATCGTCGTCAAAAAAACCCATTAGTTCGTCCATGTCGTCATCGTCTAGAGCACCCCCACCAGGTGGCCCACCAACCTCATGCTGCGAAGCCACCCCGTCTGGGCTGGATGCTTCATGTTCAACGGCAGCGGCAGCCGCTGAGTCTTGCAATGCAACACAGGGTTGGTCTGGCACAGGCTCAAGGGCTTCGAACTGAGAGTCAAAAGCTGTCACACGCTTTCGTTTCGCAGTGGGTTCCAGGGCTTTCAAGTTCTCCAAAGTGTCGAGCCCCAGGGACAATCTAATCAAACACTGAAAATATTTCACTGGTGCATCATGCCGAACATGCTCAAGGCCAAGAGCCAACAAGTCCTGACGATGTTCCTGGACTGCGACCATTGCCTGAAGATAGTCTCTCGAGACCATCGGAGCAGATGCCTTGAAGTACCACGTGCACCCTAGCCGACTGCCGTCCTCGGGGGCAAGGTCGACATCCTCTTCAGGCATGGCCAACTGGAGAGTGAGCGGCCGACCTCGTTTTGCCTTGGCAGGAAAAAGGAGAGCTACCCAGCCTTGGTCAAGCAGGAATTGCATGCACTCGAACCTCGTCCACTCAGCTCTGCTGTCCAGCATTCGCAGTTGCAGGACAGAAACTGGCTTTGCGAGGGCAACTCGAGGCTTCACCCAGCGCATCCCTTCCACTGACAGAGCCCAACCTGCACCGGTAAATACAAGCCAACCCCGCTCAGTCATCTGCTTCAAGACCCCATCTGCAGCACCTGCTTGTTTCTTGTGAGAACGTCTGGGAGGAGGCAGAGAAAAGACCCGACCGGACTCTGGAGTTGCATCTGCACACATGAGATCTGTGACAACTTTGTCCATAGCTTCATTGTTTAAGCCCGGCAGCAGCTGGCCCTGCCAAGTGAAGTGCACATCAGAAGCATCTTGGAACCGGAAGACTTTGTATCGAAATAGAGCCTCATTTACAAGCGCTGTGGCCCTTGTGAGGGACTCGCCGGAGCCACGAGGAACACCTGTCGTGCCCAAGACTTTTTCTGACTCAGTGGCAACTACATCCGACAAAGGATACAACGTGACCGCCAAATCTGCTGCTTGCAAAGACGTCATGCACGCTCCCTTGACCTGTTTCAAAAGGCTAGGTCTCCAATGCTGCACCTTGAACAAGACACAACGATGATCCCTCTCTGCTTCTTCCGAAGTCAAATCCTGAGAAACACGCTGCTGCAAGAATGACCCAGCAGGGGTCTCGGCACTTGTGTCAGGTTCAAAACAAGCAATCTCTCCAGAACCGTCCATGACTGCATCCACACCCGGTGCTGCTGACAAGGCCGTGCACATTTCACGAAATGGAAACTCACTTTCCGCTCCCCCGGCATCGGCAGCAAGAGGGAGAACAGCAGCATAGTAGGAAGCACTAAATGATTTGTCAGAGCAGACTGCACGGAAGTGTTCCAAAGCCAAATGCCGCTGGAGCTCGTTGGAAGCTGCGTCATGCAGCGGCAGCCTGTTTGGATTGCGTTTTTTTCTGCCTGGAACCAGGAAAACATCCTCCCAGTCTGTGTACTGCGAAGCCGCATCCAGTCTGAACATCACTCGGTCAGCAAAGCCAAAAGATCTCATCGCATTCTTTCTTTGATCATCAGGAAGATCTTGCAACTTCAAGACAGCCGGAGACTTCTGAAGACCAAGATGGGTCAACACAAAAAACGGGAGTCTGACCTTGCTGAAACTATTCGCCAACTGCAACAAAATTTCAGGTTGCTTCTGCACTTGTTTCAAGAGAGCTGGCAAACGAAGAGCACTGGACACATAAGCACCGGAATGGTGAGCGGCTCGATCAGTAGCTCGTTTCACGACAGCATGACGACCCTCGATGCTTCTCTCCAACAACGGAAGGAAAGCCAAGCGTGCAATTTGCGAGCACCAAGGGAGGCAACGTACATCATTTCTGGAAGCTCCCTGAACAAAACACAAAATCGAACTCCTGATGCGACCACTCTCAGACAAGAAAGACTTGCAAAGCACATGGGCCCCTTGTTTGGCATCATCGGGCATGTTCTCCCACTCAGCAAGAATACGGCGAGCGGCGGCTCGCGCCTGACTCTCATTAGGATGGGCCAGCCCTAGCAAGGAGTATGGCAAACAAGTCCAATGGGCAAACTTTAGTTGCAACATGAAGCTGAGATGCTGCAACCCAGCAACATATTCGTTGAACAGAGTTGATTGTGGAGCAAACAATCTGTCGGCACAGTCCAACTTGCTGCCCACGAACTGCTGTAGGAAGCCACATGCCATCTCTGGTCCTCGTCTGCCTTTCAGGACACAAGAGTGACCTGACAAAGGATGCTCAGGATGTACCCCCGAGACGTGACAAGGACATGTCTGGAACCACTGCAGCAGCTCATCAGGAATTTTCATCAAAGCACGAAGCATGGACATGTAATCCCAAACGTTGGCATCCCTAACGGCAAGATCGAATCTCTTGGCCCGCGCAGATGCATGAGCATGTTCTGCAAGCTCGGCGGGGTTCACCTGCACAAGAGCAGCACCTCCCTCAGCATCGGGGCCATTGGGGTCCTCAATCGCATCCTCGGCAGCAGCATCTACGAGCATGCCTGCACCTGCAGTGGCACGGCTAGCCCCCGACTTCCCCAAGAAAGCCTGCAGATTCCAAAACTCTCGAAGTGGAGCCTCGAGAGGCTCCATGGCAGCCAAGAAATCAGATAAACTTTGCCAACGCCAATCGATCAAGCGATCCGAAAAGGAATCGAAT